TCTTAGCACTAATCGAAAGTGGCTCGCAAAGACAGTGCTGGCCTCGACGCGGCGCGTTGAACCTGCGAAGGAACGAGAAAGGCGACGGCCATTTTATAGTCCTTTTTATTTTTACCTTCTCGCTTCTTCCGAGGCATGTTTGTTTTTTTTTTTTTTCAGCCAGTCGCCTCTGATCCGTGTACATGCACGGTTTTGAACTGCGCAATTTCGGATGCCGTGTCGTCGCGGTGGTGTGTCATTACATCGAAGCCCGGGAATAACCGCTCGTCTGCTCCGCGGGAGATGCCGTTGCCGTTCCTTTGCTTCCGTCCATTTTCAACTCCTAGTTTTCGGCGTCCACGTCGGCGCAACGCTCTCGTTCGGGGGACATTTCCGTTCGGTGACCCGTTCCAAACAAGATGCGGTCGAGGTGTCAAAACCACATGGAGGCGCACACGATTTTAAATGAAAGTTTTTTTTTTTTTTCCTTTCCGCCGTGTCTCCGTTGCGCGACAAATGTCGGCAGCAACTCCTATTACCTAAAAATAGTATTAAAAAATTACTATATATATATATATATATATACACGAAAAAAAGTATTAAGTGCGAATGGCGGTTGTAACAAAAAAAAATGTAAAAAACAAAAAAGTTTTTTTTTTTTTTTAGTCGTCTATCCGTCGTAAAACTAAGTAAACTCGGCTTCTTTCGGGCTTTTTGTTGCCCCTAAGAAAGACGAAGAGCCGCCGTGCCTTGTACAAACTCGAGGTTTTCCTCCCAAAATCCGGAGAGCACACAGCCAGTCGTGCGAACCACGCGCTCTCTCGCTCACGCCGTGTTTGCCCTCGAGGCCAGAGCTCGATTCACGCGAGGAAAGAGAAAAAGCCGCCTCGGCAGGCTGAGCCATTAGCTTCCGGCATGCATGTGCGAAGTCCCGCGCGGATGGCGACGCGAGCGCCAATATTCTTCGCGGTCCATTTAGGCCCGCACGAGAGGAAGGCCTTTTGTTTTCAGCCTCCCTTTTAGCCCGGCAGTCGACTGGAACGGATAGGCTTTCCCGCACAGATCCGTGAATTGCCACGGATATACCGCGTGGCTTCTTACTCCGCGTTTACACGCGCGTAGAAAGCGCAGTCACGTGGTGCGGTGCTGCCATTCTGATTGGTTCAGTCTGCCCATAGGTTGTACCCCGCCGTCAGCTTAGAGCAAAGTCGTCCCGGCTGCCGAGCTACGGGCAAACCCACGCGAGGTTTTCGTGCTCGGCGTGCAGTCAGAATGGTCCTCGAGACGATAAAGCAAGCACCGCGCCGAGGCGCGTACTTCACAGGCGATGTGAGCCTGTGTGTGCACACGCGTACGTGTGTGCGTACGCGTGCAAATATTAGGCGGTTGTTTCAGGGCGTTTACCCTCGGCGATGCTAGCATCGCACGTTGTTTCTTTGGATATTTCCGAAACTGTATAAAAGCGACATGGTACCGCACTCCTCGGGTCGTGGTTAGTGGCCAGGTGCTACGAAGCGCATGAACTGGGGGAGCGTGCTTGGTTGAAGATTTCCTATTTGGATGAAACTCTTAAATTTAAACCGGATAGCGCTTTATGCAACCTTGGAAATAAGTCTTCGCAACCTAGGGCTTGACGATGATTAAATAAAATTAGCCCGATTAATCGATTTCTTTGATTGTGGATTGTTTACAATAGTCTCTAGGCTGCGCTAAACGGACACTCGCTCGGCGGGACACGTGTAAACCTTCTCCACTCGTATGGAGTTACAGATCTCGCTCCTGCAGTGTAACTTCAGGTTGAAATTTCGCCTAAAGTTGGCCCTTCATAGAGGCGTACTCGTCCACGTCTGCGTTGGGAAAGCGTTAAATTTTTACTTTTTTTTTCTTTTCTTGATTTGGGGGGTTGGAGGGGGGGGGGGGGGGGGGGGTCACGTTCATTGATTAACCGCTTAAAATTATTAATCGTGATGGAAGCGTTAACCAACTGATCATTATTATAATTACATGTTTCCTCTCCAGGGAGCGGAGCGGCACTGATAACAACATTCCGTAGCTTGACAGTGATGCACATATGAATAAGCAAGCAAACGAGCAGAAAATACGCACAATAAAACAAATAATTTATCAAGCAAAAGCTAAGTCGGCTAAAAATCAGTTTTACATGTTCCTAAAAAAAAAAAAAAAAAAAAGAAGGAGCTAGAGTTTATTTTTGGTTCCTTCTGAATTTTGGAACGCGTTCCCGTTACAAGTTCTATATGTATAAAAAAAAAACTGTTCCCGCTACAGTTATAAAAAAGTTTTTGTTTTGTCGTCGTTTTCCAATTTATTGTATAAGGAGATCGCTCTTTTCGCATTGACAACGCTTCTCACTGTTCAATATATATATATATTATTTATTTATTTCACAATACTGCAGGCCCCGTTGGGGCCCAGGCAGGAGTGGGGGGAAAAGAAAGGGGAAGGGATGGCAGAGTCGCAAACACACACGTTCTTCAACACAACACTGATACTAAATAGCATATATCATCGCAATTTCGAAAAAAATACATCAGGGGTAGGGCTATCAACAGTGTCTTTTTCTAAGCAATTCCATTCTATTATGGTCCTTGGGAAAAACGAATTTTTAAAAATGTTGTTTGCGCTTTGGTATGGCTCTAAAAGACTTCCATGATTAAAGCGTGTATTTCGGCGTGTGACATGCTTTATGTAAGGTGATGAATCTAAATTAAAGTAATTATTCTTCATTAGGTACAAAAACTTCAATCTGAAATTTTTCCGGCGCGATCTCAAAGACTCCAATTCAAGTGATTTTACCATTTCTGATGGGCTGTCTAAGCGGCGGTACCTATTGCATATGAATCGCGCAGCTAGCCTTTGAACTTTCTCTAATTCGTCTATGGCTTTTTGTGTACACGGGTCCCAGACTACGCACGCGTATTCTAAAACTGGCCTGACCAAAGTCTTATAGGCACAGAGCTTGACACTGGAGGGTGCCAGCGGAAGTCTGCGCCTTAGGGACCACAACGCTCGTCTCGCAGCAGCACAAACATTGGCAACATGTGCATTCCAGTTCAAACTACTCGTAATTGTTACCCCAAGGTACTTAACTTCAGAGGCTTCTTTAACTTGAGTGCCATTAATTGTATAGGGAAAGTCCAGTACAGTTTTTTTATTTGTAACCCTTAGTAATGTACATTTATCCAAGTTCAACGGCATTTGCCACTGTTCACACCACGCATAGACATTCTGAAGATTATTTTCGAGAGCTAGCTGGTCATTATGGGTTTCTACTTCTTTGTACAATATGCAGTCGTCTGCAAACAACCGAACCCGAACTCTGTCATCTATGCTGTCAACTATGTCGTTTATGTAGATAAGGAACAATAACGGTCCCAGAACCGACCCCTGCGGAACACATGATGAAACAGATAACTGACTTGAAGATTGCTTGTCTATTTCGATAAACTGGGAGCGGTTTGAAAGGTACGACTGAACGAATTGGACTAGGTCGTTTTTAATTCCGATTGCGTATAGCTTCTGCACTAGTTTATGATGTGGTACTTTATCGAAAGCCTTCGCGAAGTCTAAAAAGATGGCATCGACTTGTTTTCTTTTGTTTAGAGCAAGGGCAAAATCATGCAGAGTTGTTACTAACTGTGTCACTGTTGATAGCCCTCGACGGAAGCCATGCTGAGCACTGGTAAGGAGGTTATTTTCTTCCAGGTAATCAGTAATGTGCCTGCACACTATGTGCTCCAGTGTTTTACAACAAACAGAAGTAAGGGATATAGGGCGATAATTAAAAACGCACTGAGGATCACCACTTTTTAAAATTGGCACAACACGAGCGCGACGCCAGTCAAAAGGAATCTCTTTTTGTTTTAGTGAGTTATTAAAAATGACGAACAAATAATGCGACAGCCATTCAGCATAGCGTCGAAGGAATTCGTTAGGCACATTGTCCGGCCCACACGCTTTTTTAACATTTAGCCGAAGCAAAAGATCAAAGATTCCTTCCCGGCTTACGACAAGGTCCCGCATGGCCGACGACATATCACAGATGCTCTCTGGCTCTGCTGCCGAACGGGGGCTGAATACGGACTGAAAGTACCTATTGAATTCGTTTGCCATGTCGGTTTTATCAGTGACAAGAATCCCACTAACATTTAAACACTCAACACACTTTTTTGTTCCTGATAAGAAGTTCCAAAATTTAGCGGGCGCTTCCTTTAGAACACTGATAAGAGACTGCGAGAAGAAAAACTCCTTGGAAGTTGAAATCTTTTCTTTCAATTCTTCTTTTATCTGAGAAAGTTCAGATGTCCCATACTTGTGAGTTCGCTTTTTACGTTGCAATTTACGTTTAAGTTGAATAATCTCTCTTGTTATCCAAGGATTGTTCCTTCTTGTGCGTTTTACCTTGCTGGGTACATACTGCGAAATGCAATAATTGCAAATGTTTTTAAACATAGTCCACTGGGTTTCTAAGTCGCGTTCCTCACAGAAATCATCGAGGTGTGTCTCCAAGTAGTCGAGCACATCAACATCACTCGCATCGTTATAATTTTTAACAATCAATTTTTTTACACCACCAAGTTCCGCGTTTTTGAAAAAGTTGGAAGTAAAATACAGCAATTTATGATCAGACAACCCTGTTAAAACGTCAATAGTGTACCATGATATTAGTGGACTAACGAAGACCAGGTCCAAAATAGATTGCGCCGTGTTGCCGATCCTTGTCGGCGATGTCACTATCTGGGTCAGGTCGTTCGAGAACGCACAGTCAAGCAACATCTCTGAATCACGTGCGTGTGCTCCCGCTGATCTCATTTTTAACCAGTCAATATGGGGTAAATTAAAATCACCGGCCATGATTAGTCGTACGCGATCATTACGAAAAGACCCAAGAAAGTCGTATAATTGCTCAAGGAACACTGGTGAGGCATTAGGCGGTCTGTACACTACTCCTAGAACAAGGCTATTCCCGTAAAAATCAACCCGACACCACAAACTTTCGTGGTTAGGAATGCCTGGTAGTAGGCACGCGCCTAACTCGGACTTCAGGACAATGGCAACGCCACCGCCACGTGACAGTCTATCGTTTCGGTAAATTTTGTGTGTCGGCGGAATGACTTCGCTGTCCTGTATATCTGAGTGCAGCCATGTTTCGGTTATCAAAGTGGCGTGGGGGTCAAAATCAAGGAGCATTGCCTCGAAATCTGTAAGTTTATTCAAAACACTTTGCGCATTAAATGACACAAGTCGGAAGGTTATTTGCTTCTGACGTCACGGAGCGGTGGAAACACGTTTCTTGCTGCTGCTGGGCAGTTTCACGCGCGTTTGTGTGCTGTCATCCCACGCATAAATGTCACCGTTTACATGAAGCTTATCATGAACCAGAAACACTTTAGCGTCGTTTTGTTTATCTGGCTGCGCAGATGTCCAGAGCAACTTTCGCGTTCGAATTGTTTCCTGCGACAAATCATGCCGGACAGAAACCTTACTTCCCTTTAGTAAATGACAATTCTTAAGAACAGACATTTTTTCACTGTGGTCTTGGAAGTGCAGTATGACTGGCCTTGTTTTCTCGGGAACATGTCTACCAAGACGATGCAGACGGTCAACACTGTTTACAGTGACCTTCAGAGTGGTTTTGAAAAGATTATTTATGACCTTGTCTTTAAGCGAGTCTCCAGTTTCGCCGGGTTGCTCTTCAATGCCAAATATAACAAGGTTGTCTTTTCTGGACCTGTTTTCGAGTTCAACAAGCCTCCTCTCTTGTAGTTTGTTCGCTTGCTGAATATCTGCAATAACTTGTAGCAGAGGAGAGTCCCGTTCTTTTTTTTGCAGCGCATCTATGTCCTTTTCTGCCTTATCCAGCCGTGTTAGGACATCTCTGACAAATGAATCTAAACTTAATTGTTTTTCATTGATCTCTCTTATTTCTTTCCGCATTTCAGATTGGCCAGCAAGAAGCTGGTCGAGTGATTCCTGGATACTAGGTCCAGGATTGGTTTCTACATCTCCTGATTGTAACAACAATGCCGATATCAAGTCACGACACACTGACGCAACGCTTCTAACTATGGTTTGTGGACTTGGTGACAGAAACAAGCACCGATCATCACTACGATAGCAGTGTACAGGATATGTGTAACTAACCTGGACAGTGAAGAAGACAGGCGTATTTAGCGTCCTTGCCATCACGATGTCACCAAGTCCACTGAAGCCGACGAGATCGTTGTGGGCGTTTATAGGTAAAGTTCCGGACGTGACGCCAGGGTAGAACGTAGGTTCCGGAAAGCTGTACACCAGGGGGAGGCGACCACGTTCCGTCGAGTCACCATTGATGCCTTGTTGATATGAAACCATGCCGAAGTTGTCGGCGCTGAAGCTGTTGGCACCGCTGCTTGCTATCTGACACAGCAACACCTGGACAGTGAAGAAGACAGGCGTATTTAGCGTCCTTGCCATCACGATGTCACCAAGTTTTTTATAACTTGTAGACAGGTTGTGGGAGGCAAGAAAAATAAAAGCACATTGTTAAAGGCCGACAAAACGTCCCGACGACTCTTTACTAAAAGCGTGTGAAAAATATCCGCGAAAACAAGGAGAATCTAGGCCACTTGGCAAAATTCCTGTTGCCGCACCGAAACCTCAATGGGGCATGTTTCTAAATCTATCGAAATGTGTTCATATCAGGCTTATCAGGAAATCTAACTTTTTCTCCTCATCGTGCACTATTGGTGGGTCGCCGGTTGAGCTTTCCGTGATGCTCAATATTTAGGAGTCATTTTTTTTATATCAAATTTACCTTCGAACAAACATATTGACTATATCACCTCAAAGGCAAGTAGGTCATTAGGTTTCATAAAACGCAATTTTAGGATGGCCTCTCCGTCGCTAAAAAAAAACCATTGTATTTATCACACGTACAATTCAATCTTGATTACGCGCGTACAATATGGGACCTCTATAGACTATACTTAAAGATCAGATTGAAAAAAAAGAAAAGAGAATCGTGCTGCCAAGTTTGTCACGGGAAAGTATGATTTCAGAATTAGTGTAACTGATCTTAAGTTGTCTCTGGGTTGGAGGTTTCTGTGTCTGAGTCATCAATGCCTCCGTCTGAAACTTTCATATAACATTTCTTTATTACAATACTTTTACCTGTAAATGAACATATCTTCTAGAACCCATTTACCTGTCTCACAAAATAGATAATTCCAAGAAGATTAGTCGATATAAATGTGGAGCATGATGTTTTAAGTGTTTTTTTTTTTCACGGTCTATGGAGGTCTGGAATAAATTACTTAATGACGCTGCAGAAATTACAATGCAGGAGCTGTCTTTTTTGACAAAATCCAGTCTGTTTAAATATCTTATATTCTAGTGTTTCTGAGTCTAGAATCGTGTTTTTCTTTTTCTGTGTATAATGTCGTTTTTATATTGTCATGTTATCATTTTTATTATGTATACAGTTTTTTCTGTGCCGCCCCCCCTCCCCCCCCCCCCCCCCCCCCCCCTTTTCCTCCCTTTACTATAATGCTGTTTTGGGCCATGTAGGTATCCAAATAAAGAAGTAAATTTTGATAAAATACTTTCTCCTGGAACATTTCCAGCTTTCCCTCCGAACGACCCGCTGAAGGCACATCATTGGAGCACCCAGATATAAAGGCATGGGTGCCGGGGTTCCTCTGCGCGTCAGATGTTGTTTTGTGACGTTTATTTTCGCCCCCGCAGGCTGCCAGAGAAAATCAATGGGCTCCAGGTCACGGAATAAGAAAAGACAGTGTGCTGTCGCATTCTGTTCGTCTAGTTCGCGCTTAGCAGGATTCCTGGCAACTCGTTTAATGAAAAGACAACAGTCCGTGTGGCAGACGTCCACTCCAGAGGCGTCGATGCACGAGCCCGAGATGACCCGGAGCGAAGGACTCCCTCCGACGCGAAACCTCCGATGCCCATCTCGGGCTGCCTGGGGAACCGGACCGCGTTCTGTTATTCCTTCGAGAATGAAACGTTTATCGCGCTCCCGTATTTTGGTAGGACAACTCGGCGGGTTCCTGAAGGCGGAGCACTTTACCGAATTGCTGGAGGGCATGGTTTCGTCGCTCTCGCCCCGGTGGAAGATGGGGCGCAAACAGAGTGGGACCAGCCTATCTATTCCGCAGCACAAAATGGTGCGTGCTAAGTATACACATATATACATATATATATATGAAGAAAGAAAAAAAAAAAAACACAGGGAAGCAGCGGGACAGATGTGTTCGCCGTGGGCGCACTGAGGAAACTTGAGAAGGAGACAGCATTCTTCTATAGACACGCAGTGCTTGTTTGAGGTTGTTCTGCGTGGATCAACGCGGGCCTTATCTGATACCCCATACTGCGAACGTTTGTGTAGCTCTTCGTGCCGCAGTCACTTAACGGTGCTATTATATCTCCGGCTCTGTAAGCAGGGAAACCTGACCCAGCTGGTCAACACATATGCGCCGAGAAAGTGTGAAAGAGGAGAAGACGAAACCGCGTGAAAGGAAGACAAAACGCCGAGCTCTCGTTGGAAGGATCAGTGTGTATACGAGCTAAAGTAGCCTTTGTCTCTACTGCACTTGTCGAACGCGTTAGAAGGCCGAACGCCGGCGTCCGGCGTTTCGCTCTGGCATTGAAACGCGTTCGACGAATGGAGTGTAGACAAATGGAGCTATAGCTTTAGGCCTACCCACTAATCATTCGAATCAGAGCTCAGCGTTCTGACGTCTCCTCTCGTCTCCCCCTCTCCCTACGTTTCTCGGCGCAGACGTTTAAGGACCAGGAGAACAAACACGCTGGCACGCTGGCGCCATCTATGAGGCGACCCTGGAACTGCACTTCACTATACGGCGAGCAAGTGTTCCCGAATACGTCTTTGGCCATAGCCTCCCATATACTCACAAAGCTTGGCAGTTCAATGACGGAGCCATAGAGTGCCCGGTCTAAAATTTGGAGCGCGAGTATCTGGTAGCACAGAGCTTTTCTCGGGGAGTCTGGTATTCAGCGCACAGCTTTTGCAGTGGCGAGGGCCCGAAGCATGGTTTTAAAACCCGACGAGAAAAGAAGCGGTAGCCCGAGGAACGCGAGAAGCACGAGCGGACATTCCATCGCTTGGGAGAAGTGTGTTTCGGCGTCTCGGCATTGATCGATTAAAATCGGTAGATTAATCGACCGATTTCCCAGCCCTAGTTGTAAGGCACACGGTAGTAAGCAGTCCCAAGTGTGTGAACCAGCCCTAAGTATGTTTTCCCCAGCTGCGTTCACACGGGACATCCAGTGATAAAGACGAAATTATAGGTTTTCCGATTGTGTTTCGTCCTACCTAAAGACGTTACTGCCTCCCACGGACGGAGCCTTGAATGGTTGTGTGTCGATCATTCATATTCCGGCTCGCATTTCCCCATCCGGGAAACATCAAACTATAGAATAGCCCGCAAGTTTCTCGGACGTGTGAACGAGGCAGGCTTTCCTCGTGAGCGACTGCTAGAATCCTCGACGCATTCATTCCGATGGACAACGTCAACCGCAGGAACGCGATCCCCTCTGGAGAAAACTCCGCGGGAGTAACGTGCGTCATAGTGGACGACGTCTGAGAAGTCGCCGGGCGGCATCTTTCGGGGTCGTGCCCGGCGACGGATCGATGTCCAACCGCGCGTAAGGCATCCCCTGTCCGGAGGAGGGCCCCGGTGGCGGCGAGCCTGGCCCCGACGTCCCCAATTTGGGCTCCGCTCGTGCAGAAAGATTAGCCGGCCGCTGCCGACCGAATCTCGGGGACTTGGCATCCCGGAGCCCGCGGGTGGACTCTGTGGCGCGGAAGAGAGTCCGCCGCTGTCCCCTCGACCGACTGCCCCGCTGGGTGGGGGATGGCACTCGTTGAGGAGACCGCAACTTGGACGCTTCCGTCCAGCGAGAGACTCCGTCCACCCTTAACCTGGGGGTGCAGAGGGAGATGCGCGCTCCGACGGAGTATCGGAGCGATAGTGCATAACTGGGATGCCACTGGCTAATCGCGGTATCGTTCGAGGGGCCCAGCCGATTACTGCGGTGGAAGGCTCCGGGGACACGGGGCGCCCGCCTGTCAACTGCGTAAATCTCGAGAGAGATGTAGCACGGCCCACAACCAACGGACCTTGCAGCGCGCTCTCATCTTGTTCCGCCTTTAAGGAGGGCCGATGCGTGAGAACAGTGTTGCCGTCTTTCATTCGGGGCATGCTCGTTTCACGAAGGAAGTCTCGAGAGCAGCAACCCGGATGTACTTGTCGATTGGCAGTCCTCTATGGCCAATGGACTTGTCTCCCTGGTCGACTGTTAGTTTGAGGGTATTGAGAATGGAATTTGTTTCTAAGGTACGTTTATTTATTGATTATCTAGCTCTCAATTATTTGTTAATACTGCTACAATACTACTTGCAAAACAATTGACATTTTTCTCGCAAAAATAAATTACGCATTGCCGGACACTCATTCCCCGCTCAGATGCGTGGCTACGGGTCCGCACCAGATGCCAAAGTTTCAGAGATAACCGCCATTTTAATAAAAAGTTATAAATAAATTTCAGAAATTTTAGATTAAAAACAAATGACGGGCCGACGGATTCCTGGAATACATATAGATGAATGGCGCAAGTTACAAGCGGGCAAAGGCGGGCATCATTTTTTTATCGAAAGTTTATGAAAATAATGTAACTTTTGATTAAGATAACGATAAGCTCTGAAACTTTGGCAACTGGTTCGAATCGGTAGCACTGTGTTTGGATTGAAAATTGGCGTTCGGCAACGCGTAAATTAAAAAAAAAAAAAAAAAACGCTAATTTTTTTTTTTTTTGGGGGGGGGGGGGGGGGGGGGGGGAGAGGGGCACGCTGTGCTTTGTAGAGTTGAAGCAAGTGTGAACAACATATAAACAAAATATAACACCGAGAAATTATAAAGAACAGAAAAATAGCGAGACATCACCGCACCGAGAGAACTTTAAAAGTGCGGAATACAGTTTTACGACGCCCTGCCCTGTGAACGCGTTGTTTTATGGCAACTGGTTGCAAACAGAACTCTAACTGTATCATAAAGTGACCGAAATTTTTTAATAGTTAATTTCTTCTTAAAACGAGCGTTTGCGCGTGACACTATGAAGTTCCGTACAGAGGATGGGGAATATGAACTATACTATTATTGTTATACATGTGATTCGTCCAATTCAAACCTCCTGTAATCGTGATTGCTAGGTATTTCACTGTCTACATTTGTTGACTTACACAATTTTTTTAAAACATTATTTTAGGTGATATACTTTCTTAGTGTTTAGAATCGTATGCATCACACCCAGTGTTGTGCCAACTACTCAACAGATGTATTTATGATAAGATATTCATGATAAGATACTAAATACCCACTTGAAAATGTATTTACAGTAGGATTCAAGTTTCTATCGCTATGAATTATCTTGAGTAGAGT